AATCCTAGTCGCCTTTTCGGCATACACAAAGTATCTCTAATGCCTAAGGCGTAGACAACTCGGGTATGAGCCCTACAATGTCTAGTCCACTTTGGCATATAACAACAGGTTGGGCCCGTTAGGGACAACCGACATCTAAATGAGTAGCCCGTGCGCGGATAGGTCGGGTATATGCCCTGCAATGTCGCTCACCTCGGCGTACATTACGTAAAGTTACCCCTACTAGTAGTCCAAGTAGACAGTTCGGGGTGACAACCACTTAGAAAAATTTTACTTTGGTTATCCTTACTTGTTGTCCAGCTCGGTAGCTCGACAATTCAAGGTAACCAATACACCTACTCCTACCTCCGTCTGGTTCAGATCACCAGATCGGGGGTCATTTACACTTTGAATATTTTTGCACAAGGATTACTCAAAAAAGTTTGTATTTCATTGATGAAAAGATTTTAAGTACAAAGATTTCATTATAACCCGAGCTCAGTGGCCTTGGGGTGTACATCAAAACAGTAAAAATAATAAAAAGCCGAGGTCATGCATGTAGACTACCAGGTAGGTAAGTTTCCATATGCTCCTCCGCGTCCTCTTGACTCGATGGGCCCCCCTCTAGGACTTCGTCGTCACTTTCTTCTTCAGATGAGCCGGGCTCTTCGTTCGCTACCTCCACCACCTCGGGGGTAAGGTCAGACATAGAGATGACTCTGAGGTCAAGATCAGGGAATTTCTACCACATTAGGTACTTGCACAGCTTGAAGCCAGAACGATAGGAGCTCGATCCATATTCGACCTGGAGATCGTGGAACTCTGAGGATTCCTTGAAGCAGTCAATGGCGTGGCTTCTTTCTTCAGCTCGCGCCTCTTGGATGGCGGTCTCGAAGATCTTAGTTCGCTCTTGGATCATTGCTTCGAGGTTCTCGACCTCTCGTTGAAGCTTCACCTTCTCCTTGGTCATTGCTGATATTAGCTCCTATTGCTTCACCTTCTCCTCGGTCATGGCCATGATAAGCTCCTGTTGCTTCACCTTCTCCTCGGTCATGGCCATGATCAGCTCTTGTTGGCTCCGAACTCCCTTCTTGGCCCGAAGAACCTCACCCCGAGCTATGTCCAGCTCATGGTAAAGTTTTCGCGCCGTCTCCTCGACTTCCCAAGCTTTCTTCAGGCGGACCTCAGACTAGTAGACCAACGAATGAATGGCGGAGTTCACCTAGTAAAGAAAACCGAGGTAAGTACGTTTGAAAGTTTGATAAGGAACTAAAATGTAAAGTAAGATACTTACCACCATGTAGTAGCTGGCAGTCCGGCCTCCGAGCTGGCTTGTAGGCATGTCAGCCCATTCCGCGACCTCGACAGGAAAGACGACACCCTTGCTCTTGAGCAGTTCGAGTTGAGGGGTCGTTATGCTTTCTTTGGGAGACTCGGGCTCGGGCGTGGAAGTGTTCTCCGGCTCGTGAGGCTGAAGGTCTTCCTCCTGGTCCTCGTCCAAATCCACTATAACGGGTTGAGGGCGGACCTCCTCCTCAAGGAGTTCGTGAGGGCGGACCTCCCCCTTAGGAAGCTTGGCAGAGATTGGCTCCGGGGCAAGGACTTCGGATGGGGTGGGGGCAGAAGGATCGGCCTCCCGGCGAGATTTCTTCGAAGCCTCCCTCTTCTTCCCTCTCTGAAAGCTCTTGAGAAGGTCCTTAGCATCGACCTCTGGCATGGTAACTGCAAGAGTAATTAAAAGGGTTATTCGCGAACTAAAGAAAACCTTAAAATAAAAATCGAGGTGGAGACCTACCAGGAGGGCTCAGCCTAGCTCGCACAAGCGTCTCCTCGGCCAAGAAATCTTTCATCTCCAGGCCGAGGTCCCTCAAAGAGTTGATCACTGCCCTAGTCTCTGCATCTAAACTCACCTTGGGATCCTTGATAGCCACCCTTCAATGAGTTGGAAAAGACCATCCCTCAGGATTTCGGACAAGGAAGTACCTCCTCTTCTCGGCCGGAACCTTGTTCGGGCTGCCGAACAGGATTTTAAACCCGAGCCAATGAGAGATGTAGTAACTTTGTCTGACGTCCCCGCGCAAACAAGCATAATTCTTTTTGATCGAACAGATCGAACTGAAGACGTCTAGGGACAGAGGTCGGTTGTACTCATGGAACAGGGAGATGGTGCTTACTATGTTCCGGATAGAGTTCGGGTGTAGTTAGTCAATGGTGATGTTAAAAAATTTGACTATCTCTATAATGAAGGGGTGGAGCGGGAAGCGCAGCCCAACAATGAGCTGCTCCTCAAAAACCGCAAGCTCATAAGGGTCGTGAGCCCAAGGATACTGACTTAGAGGAACACTAAAGACTAAGCTATCGGAAAGACGACAGCAAGCTACTAAGTACATTAACCTATCCAAGGTCAAGATAGAAGGACCGAAGTCGTCCGAATCCCGACCCCGGGAAGAAGATGGGACCTCCATCCTAGAGGTTGGTCCCTCCTTCCGAGCCTCGGGCTCGCTAGGCCGAGATGGCCCAACTTCAGGTACAAGAGTTCCCTCTAAAAACTGAAGAGGGGAGTCACCCAGCGACGAGCTGACCTCCCCAGCAGGGGCCGCGGACTGCACCTCGGCACCCCCGACCTCGCTAGAGTCACCTAAGAGCCTATCTATACTAGAGCTAGACATGATTAAAAAACAAAAAGAGAACAAACTAAGGAAAACACGAACTCACCAAGAGAAGGACGAGCTCGGAATACAAAGAAAGAGCGAGCTGAAAGACTCCGACATGACCTCGGGAGAGCTCAATCACAGAATTTTGGTGAAGAAGAGGGGTCCCTCGGACCCCTATTTATAGTCCACTGTGAGGCGATTAGTGGTTGAGATCTGCTTGATCCAACGACTCTCATGAAAACTGGTTGCACGACGCCCGAGGATGAAATTGGTTGAGCGCATTTTTGACGTCCGCGGAGTTCATAAACAGCGTGACGTCCGCGTGTACACCCAACGCGACTTGGGCTACGACTAGTTAAACTGGAGGTTCGAACAGGTCCAACCGATTGATCCGCTCGACAGACCGCCTAAACCTCGTGCCAAATCCACCTGGATTCGTCATGAACTCCCTGCACCGGGTCGGGACCCCCAGCTCGGGGAGTGGGGGGCAATTGATGAAGGGCGATTTGGCCCGGCCTAGTAACTGGGGGACACGTGGACACGACCTAACTAGTAAGGTGACAACTCAGCTCGACATGCCAAGTCCGCAACAGATCAAGCTCGGATAATCAAACCACCTCGGGACGACTTCACTTCCGTGTAAGGTCGCACCAAGACCACTTCGGTCCCAAGGCACTTTGGCGTTCGCCCCAGGTCGGATCTAAAGAGTAGTAGCTCGGGCCTCGCGGGATCACGTCGCGTAACAACTAGCGTTATCTCCCCCGACCGATTTGGGCGGACTCAATAAGCCCCATCAATTATCCCCATTATCGCGGAAATAGATCTCACCGTGACGAGGATCCCAGAACCACTTCGCGAAACCCGCGAGGACTCCATTATATAAAGGCTCCACCCCCCGAGGTGCAAGGTATGAGTGATTTTCTTGCTCTCTAGCTCTCTACTTTCAAAAGCAATTTCAGTTCACTACTAGCCTACTAACTTAAGCATTGGAGCGACCTCGCTGGGTTAACATCCCCGGGTTCTCTGATATCCTTGCAGGTTTAGTCCGCCGTCCGTCTGGAAGCCAAATCACCTCTAACTGGGAGCAGCTAGATTGCGCTACATCAAAACCCATTGAATTTAATCTCTTATGAGATTAAAATCCAACACTATCTTATGTTGTGATGGGTGGACCACACCCTCCTAGTTTCGCAGTTCCAATTCCATTCCTGGCTGCTAGTGTGGTACATCCCCTATGAACGAGAGAGAGAGAATTGGTAGCAGAAATATTTGAAGTTTGGACATTTGACTGTCACAACGGAGGATTAAGGAGTCGGCTCTTTGCATATAAACCACTGATAACAAAATTATGCGCCGCAAAACACGGCAATATGGTCGGTTCAACCAACTGAACTATTAGTAACGGAGAAAATTTCCGTTAATTCACAGTTAATATGGGTGAGATGACGTGTTCTTCTTTCATTCGTGGGTGTACTGAACGAGTGCACCCATGGGTGCACAGAACGCGGGGTAAGCTTACCCACTCGTGAAAATTGGGTGGACATGTTGCTTTCTCTCTGTTTAAGACCCACTTCTTAAATTCTTTTAAAAGATATATAGTTTATAGTTGATGACAAGGCCACGCCTCGCTCCTTGTTTTTGTTTGAATAATTCATTGGTCAAAAGTCTACGAGACACAAAGTTCTTTCTGTGGATGGAATCTTTCTCGTGCTCCAATGGCTTAACTGTTTTGGAATCTTTCACATCGTCACCCTTAATTTGGTGGTCATGGGCTGTTCTGGAGTTTCTGTCTATCCATACCTTATCTAATTCAGGTCTTCAATTATCTTTTTCTCAATTGAAAGAATGTTGTGTAAATGCTGTTTTGCCCACAATCATGATTATATTGGCTGTCATTCACAGCAAGCTATATTGGCTGTATTGAACAAACAGCCGATACTCGTAGTCGTATGTCATATATTAGGTGTACGACATACCGGCACGTTTATTCGTCACACGTTATGGAAGAGATTTTGTCTCCGCCTAATGCGGGGTCTCTCTACAATGACCTAATTAATAAATATCTATTTAAATTCTAAAAATAAATATTTATTTATATTTTTAAGAAGAAAAAAAAATAAAAGAAGAATGATCAATAATCCCAGGATCAGAATTTATAGATTTAAAGTACATTTGGGATTGGTAACTCCGAATTGATGTTAATTCACGGGGAAATATGAATGCATAAATGTGGTTTTTGACCTTTTAATGTTTATAATTTTGTAGTGGGAATCAGAAATGCGTACTTTTCCGAAAAACAAAAGACATGAGATTTGTCCAATTAAAGTTGAAACCTCAAAACCCCACGTGATTGGTTACCTACCATTTTATGATGCCAACTCAAAAAGAAAAAAAAGGGTATCTATTTGAATAATGTTCAACGAACGAATGGCTCCGACTCTGATACCGGAAGACATTGGCCGTTCAGTCTGACAGTTTCTACTTTCTACTGCTTACCACCTCTGGCTGCCCGTCATTGTGCGGGAGCAAATGTGTTTTTTTGTGCCGCTTAGGGTTCTGGATTCAAATTGGGAAGTTTTTTGTTTGCATTCTGTGATACCAAATTGGAACTTCGATATTGTACTTCCGTGAATTGGATTGGGAATTTCGGTTCGTWAGTTGGTAGTCAACATTAGTTAATCAAGATTAGTTTAAGAAGATTGGTCTTCCTGTAACTTTGATTTTCTGTTGTTCTGTTGTTTCTACTGTTTGAGTGTTAAATATCATATATTTGACAGTGACCACAAGTTTGACTTCTAATTGTGTGTTTGAGTTTTGTTGTGGATTCTCATGGATGAACTGTTTAGTATGTTTTCTCCAGAAAAAAAATCTTGTTTGCTTATTTCATAGAACAGCTATTATATGAAAACCAATTGTGTAATTGGTAGGATGTGGTTGTGAGTTTTCCAGTGGAAAATGTTAAACGACAAATCAAGTATTGAACATTCCTTGGTTCATAGTTTTTGATATTAATTGAGGAACAAGATCGTCAAACCATACTGTTGGTCATGCCCCTGTTTTGCTAGTGAAGTGGTGATAGTGATCATATTTTTATTTTTTTCTGTAAGTGTGCACACCGATTTTCTTCTTCTTCTTGATCTCAAAAATGAACAATCTCAAAGCAGTGTCCTTACTAGCTTGAGGTTTGCAAATTGATTTGCAACTATACATACCAAAAAACTAAATTAGAGCCAAGTGGCTACCTTTACCATTTTCTCTTTGCTTCACAAAATACAATATTCCTTTCTCAGATTCCATTTGCAAGACAATTCACCATCAGCAGTATTTTCCAAGATAGTGGTGAACCACTCCAAGCTCCCTCTTGTGAGGAATAGGATAAGTTCAGTCTACTAGGGACAACACAGATGATTGTTTCAGAAAATGTTCTCATCCTCATTTCTTGAAATTACGTTGAAATGAAGTTGAATTAGTACTCTCTTCAAAAGAATTCTGAAATTATGAGGAGTGAATTTAGGGGTTTTATCATTCTTTTGGAGACATAATTAAAGTTTTTTTTCAATATAAATTGAATAGGTTTTCCCCAAGTTAATAAAAGAGTTGACTTTTATATTGAGTGAACTATGTTGCTTAATTTTTTAGTGCCAACAAATGTGACAATTCTTTTTTTTCCTCAATAAATTCACTTGTATCCTGGTGAGAATTGTTAGTTAAGAAAGTGATCTAATATATTTTATATTGTCCATTTTTTATTGCCAGAATTCCACTCTGAGAAGGTTGGCATAACAAAATGTTGGAGAATGGTTTTAATGAAGGAGAAAGAGATCCTTCTAATTGTTTTGTTGACAAGGTATTCTATTACTTCTTGAAAAATGCTAGTCATAAGGGTTTATTAAACCCATCTTTGAATATGATGCCTTGAATGCCATTGATTTGGTGCTTCATATGGGATCCAATTTATTGTTTGTTTCAAACATTGGCACCAATTGCATCCGATATCCATGTTATTCCAACTTCTGGGGCACTACTTTCAATGATGTGTTTACCAACTGATAACATTCTTATTTTGGCTTATACATTGACTGTTAGTAGGTTCATCATTAGAAAGATTGGAAGTGTAGTCTGTAATTGTGCCTATTAATCAATACTTTTCTGCCACTTGGTTTAACTTAGCACCCTGTTCTTGATCTGTTGTAACATTACATCGCATTGTATTTATTCTAGTTGTTAAAATTTCAGTGTTTTGTTCTAGGGTTATTTTGGTCTTTTTCTCCTTTTTTATCTCTGTTTTTTGTCTCTGTTCTTGAAATATGGTATCAAGGGTAATATTGTAATTTTGTTCATTATGAATGAAGTGTATAGGGGCGGTAGTTTAGTCTCATTCAATTGAGACTGTTCAGCCCTATTCTCTTCATACTCTCTCTCTCTCTCTTCTTCCTCCTCTGTTATCTCTCTTCCAAGAACTAGTGCAGGTGTTTTTCTGTGTTTATTGGATTTAACACAGGTCTGATAACATGGTATCAGAGCTTGGCTGATCGTTCAACTTGCCTGCATCAGTGAAAGATGCCCAAGACTGCATCGTCTGAAGTTTTCTGCTCATAAAAGGTGAAAGGAAGGGGAAAGACTGAAAAGTACTGATCACCCAGAAGTTCAGGTAGCTTCCATGCCTCGAGTTGCATCGTTGGATGGTTGGTTGATTGTGTATTAGTCTCCCTTTATTTGGCAGTCTGAAGAGGGACTGTGAATGTGTAGGTCGGATGTTTGTGTTTGGTGGGTTGGTCTTTGTGAAAGGTAAGGTTGGTTGACTCGTAGAAGAGTTTCTTGGGGTCCTTGTATTGATGTTCTAGATTAAGGGGTTGCAGCTATACTGTTGATGTTTCTAGACCAGTAGAGAAGTCGGTTGGGTGTTTTATTGCCTCTGAAAGGTGTTCGGCTTGGGAGAGTATTGTAGAAATAACTTGTTGTGATTGATGGCAACTTCTAGTAGTGAAAACAAAACAAGTGCGATGGTGCAACCGGATTTCATGGCTGTACAGATGACATCAATCAAACTTAATAGTACAAATTATGTACCATGGGCTTGTTGAGGTGAATATGACAACCAGGGGAAAATTAAAGTATATTAAAGAAAATAAACCAGACCTAGGGGCTGCAGGGTATCATGACTGAATTCAAGAAAATGCGTGGATCATGACATGTCTTTGGAACAGTATGGAACTTCATATTAGTGGGAACTTGATGTTCCTTTATATTGCAAAAGAAATTTGGGAACATGCCAAGCAATTGTATTCTGGACAAGATAATGTAACAAGAATATATCAATTATACCAAGAATATTTTCAGCTGCAACAAGGTGATAAGAGTGTGGAGTACTATGCTAGTTTAAAAAGTTTGCTTAATGAGTTGGATCCGTATCAACCCCTTTCGGTTGATATCAAGGTACAACAGCAAAAGAGAGATCAATTGGATGTGGTGAGATTTCTTTCTGGACCGAGGACTGAATTTGAACCGGCGTGTGCTCAGATTTTAGGTAGTAGTGATATACCCACATTATCAAAAGTTTTTTCCAGAGTTAGAAGGGTTACAAACCCACATATAGATAGTACTCCGGTATTAGAGAAGTTGGCTCTAGCCGCAACCAGAGGTGGTAGATATAGCTCACGTGGTAGGAGCAGCTATCTTAGAGGGGGTAACTGTGGCAAGAGAGGAGGTCATGGTGGTGGTAGAGTGATATGACCCAGAAATTTGACACGCAGTTCACAGACTTACAGCAGCGTTCACACACTCGAACACCAACAAAAGAAACTAGTATTCATTCAGCAGAAAACATTAACAGTTGGTCGGTTCTTCGAGAGACCGCCGGCTCTCCCAAACACTCACAATATTCTTTACTCAAAGAAAAAACATGCCACCCCCCATCCCCCAAAGCCCCTT